CCCCAAAACCCCAAAACCCCAAAACCCCGTAAGTGGGTATTATTTTGAATTTATGAGCTATAAGAATAAAATATTTTAAATTGCAGAGAAAATGAACTTTGAAAAGTACAATTAAGTTTATTAGCCCTAACTTGCCGACAGAAATTTGCACTACGTCAAGCAGTCTACGCAGTAAAAGTATAACCTTGATACCAATCAGCAATAGCAAAAACAAGAAGATCAAACTTCATAGTCTTCTAAATCCAGAACAAAAATAATTTAATAGAATTTATCGCCAGATAAGCCTCCTCTTGCTTTAGGTGCAACTCAAACTCTTCATAAAGAATAATAAATGACACTATAACGATTATTATCAGAAGAGTCATCAAAAGAAAGGATGGAGAGGTAAAATTCGTAGTTGAAAGAAAGTATTAAAATTGGTTTTCAGGAAAATCTAAATAAACGGCAGCCATTAAATTTAATAGCAAGATAGGGTGGATCTAATTAACTTAATAAAGCTGCCATTGTAAATTCTTATATGGACTCAAGCAGCACTAAATATAATAGCTATCTTGTTAAAAGCTTTTGGTTATTAACCTCAATTAAATCTAAAAAAATGCAAGAGATAGTTCAAACAAGATAAAGAAATTGCATATTTTGCCAGCAAAATAATTTTTAACATTCTGCAAGTGCAAACGCTAGTGGGAATCAAGCAAGTAGTAGTCACTGTTTGTCCCATAATGATCACCTTAAGACTTTGGTAAGGTAATCTCTAGACAAAAAATATCTTACTTCCTAAGATTACTATAACTCAAAAATAGTCAGTGATATAATGTACAATGAAAATAGGCACATTGTATCTGTGTTCAAGGATTACCTAATATTTGATGACTTTTCAGAGTATCTTAAAAGATTCTACAGATTGTATGAAGTTGTTGAAAGACTACCCAGAGTATTTGAGTTTTACGAAAAATATTCAAAAGTTTTTCCAAATTATGTCGTTTTACCTGAAAACAAATACATGTTTAAAAATATAGAAAGGAAACAAAAATTAATTGACGAAAAGCACTAAATATTTCTTGAGCGCTAAGAATAACATAAAAGAGAGATAGAAGAAGCAAATACTTTAGGATTAGCAATTAATTCTTCATTCATTCAAAGAATGAGATTATCTAAGAATCAAATATTCGGTTCATAGTTTATGAATAACTTAACAGACATGGAATAAAGCGAATCATTGCTAAGGTAATAGAGCTCTAAGATTCTAGATATGATGTAAATATAGCACAATATTCCAACAGGCAATAAGATGATGAATCAGTTTATAAAGCAAACCTAAAACTAGAGCAGAAATAAGGAAGTCCTTAACTTCGAAAATCTAATCAACCGATTAATTTAGTTTGATAAGATCGAAGACAATTCAAGAAATATTAATTGGCCAAATGAGCCTGCAGCTTTTGACAAATTCGATCTCAATGATATCAATCTTAGTATGAGTTCAAATGCACTTAGTTCATTTCTACATGATTTTGATATAACGAAGGCATAGAATCAGCAAACTTTAAAGCCTACTGGGGAAAATGAGTCATTTTTCTGCGCTGATACCCCAATAAATAGAAGTTTAACTGTTGTAGAGGTTTCAAAAACCATGAATTAAATGGGGGTTTAAAAGCCAAATCAAAATAAGATCTTTAAAAATCCGAATAATAATCGAGATAAAATATCCGTTAAAGTTGATCTTGAAAAGACTGGAAGAATAATTGTTTCATTCAACCAAAAGCTTAATTAATAGCATATCATTCAACAGAATTCTTCAATGAATTCATCAAAGATCATGTCTTAAAATAATAATAACAATGCCTATCAAATGATTGATCCTAAGACTTAATAACTAAATAGAAAATCGCAAACATCTCAATAATCAGGCCAATCAACTAAGAAAAGTCAATAGACAAGCTAGTAATAGCCTTAAATACAGAAATAATAAGTTATCTAAGTGGTTCATACATAGCCAGTACAGAAAAAGCAAATTTCAATTGGAAATTAGATATCTATTTCTACTGGTTAACTTCAATTATCGCCTTCGCCCTAGTTTGATTAGGTTTTAGGCCTTAAAGATAAAAGACTTTAAGACACTATTTAGATATAGCAGATGAGTAGCTCAAGTCTTAGAAGTGGTTAATCATAGCTCAATCAACTCGCTAATGGAGGTAGGACTAGTTAGATCTCGCTTGGAAGTAGCAATAAGAATACTGTTTTGTCAACCTAGACTCAATAAAATACATAGTCATAAGGTCTCAACTATATCTAACAGAAGTAAATGCAGCTCTCTTAAAAATAAATACCTTCATCCTAATAAATGCCTATTTCGCTTAAGTAAATGACTTTAGTAAAGAATCAAAGAAATATGCCCCTAGATTAGCTTCTTGGGTCAAGTGGGAATCCTGGATCATAAAATAGCCAGAAAAAGAGCACTAAATTCCTGTCCTAATAAAATTAGAATATAGCATCATCTAAAATGTAGTAGAGTAACAATACTAGTCTCTCATCTGTACCTAAAATTGAAACCTAAAGCTTTGTGCAGAAATGTGGTTAATCACCTTAAAGATCTTCTCCATAGATAGACTTTGCTAATCCTGGTAAAATATAAAGTCATCATGAGTAATCAAGTTTCTCTAAGTAAAGTAATAATAAAAAGATCTAGTTAGAGCCTTATAATAGAGAGGAAAACTCAAAGAGTTTCAAGATCCAAACTAACACAGCAGCTTAATTAGGGCATATTTAAACTAATGAAGCTGTTTCGCCCTAAATGATTTCATAGAGTATTAGAGATGCTGTTAATAAATTATTGCCACCTTAACCGTAGAGTTCTAAGGTCAGTAAGTAAAAAACTGAGAAACTAGAAGAGATTCTTAATTAAAGTAGTAAAGTTTAAGGGGTGAAGATGTCAGCTAATGCACTATTGAATAAACTTTTCACCTAATCGTAATAATTGCAAAAGTAGCCCAAATAAGTTTATACTCCTCAGGCATCGAATTCAAATCAATTTAACTTCCCAGGACCTTTAAAAGGTGTTAGTGATGATAATGCCACTACAAAGATTGTTTATTCAACAAGAAGTCCTCACAAGAAGAATTTTTCTTCGCCAAGTGAAAATCAGAATAACGTTAGCAAGATTAAAAAACAGGAAAACCCTAAGAAATCAAGTACAGCTCTTAACTAAAGAGATAGAGAGGTTAGAGAAGAAAATTTTGGCTATAGAGATGATTAAGTTAGAAAGAGCGCAAATCAGATTCCTAACACAAATTTTGTACAATTTGCAAAATTAGAACCCCAAAATACATTTTCTAATGCTAGTGGTATGTAACTCTCTTATGAAATAGGCTCAGTTTCTTAGTTAGCTGAAAGGGTTTAAAAACTAACTCCTCAAAGCCAGACTACATAAAAGAAAATAATTAAGAAAGCCAAAGATTTTAATCTTATTGATAATCAGATGTCTCCAACCAGCTAATTTGGAAACCCAGAGTTTAACAGAACTGTGTAGAATATGATTGGATAAGGCTTCAATTCGAGAATTTAAGCCTAAAGTAATCCGGGATCAAGATCTTTGGATAAGAGAGAAAGAGCTGGAAGTGAAAAAGTCGGTGATAAGTTCCAATCTAATCCTTAGAGTCTCTAAATTATACCTGAAAATATTTACAGCATCAAGGGCTCTATTACAGTTAACAACAGTGGGAATTAAAGAAGAAGCGGAAACAATAGCGGATATGAGACATCTATGGGTATCGTGACTAAGCAGCAGTCATAAAACAAAAAGAGAAATCAGAGTAATCATAGTTCTAAGAGTGGAGCTAGTTAGAAAAGTAATTTAAGTAATGCTTCAGGAATGAGCAATCCTTATAATAAACTAGCAACTAGTGCAACTTCAGTAACAATTAAGAAAAAGGTGACTGCCAAGAATCATGTAGTTAACTTAGCCGGTGACTCTGCAAACATTCTGACTGTTAATCTGAGCACTAAAGAAAACAAATCGAATTAGCTGTACGAGAAGATAAAGAATGCTAATACTAATAAGAAAAAGTTAGCAACTATTTTTGCATTTAATAAATGACTCTCATATTATTAAGACTATTTCATAATGGTTTATAGATTATACTCTTAAGAAAATTTATCTAAAATAATCCAATCTTTTGATTTGAATCACTAGGGGTTTTGGGGTTTTGGGGTTTTGGGGTTTTGGGG